AGAACAGACAGCTCAGGTGTAATCCTCACCCAGGCAGCAGTAGCCTAAAACACTTAAGTGCAGTGCTAACAAATAACCCTAGAGTGATAGGATATTTAAAGATTAATCTAGACCCAATTCCTGAAGCAGAAGTTGCGAGTGGAATTCTAAATTTGGCTCCTTTCATACCATATACTAGATATTTATCATCTTCTACATATCACTTGACAATTATGATTATTATTGATCAAGTGTTCGCCATGTTCCAGGTAGTCTGTTAAGTGCTCTACATGTATGATTTCATTTAACCCTTAAAACAATGCTGAGGGAGAGAGACTACAATTGTTTCTGTTTTGTAAAGGTTGAAGTGGAGGCTTGGAGTGGTTCACTGACTCAACCAAAGCCATATGACTAGTGGCAGGAACACCTGTGCCTTCTATCTTGTAGTTCAATGTTTATCCCTTACTCTGCACTGACTCTCAACTACAACTATAAGCTATGGTTGAATTACTTATTTGAATGTCACTGGTACAAATTAGCCAATGAGTTGCTTATGGTTCTAATTTAGAAATTTGCAGCCTCACAAATACTCACATATAATTCTATATGAGACCATTTCTTCTCCAAGATTTTGCACTCAGTACCTGTCTAGCGCCATACCTAATTGCCCTTTTCTGAAAAACAATGGAAACTTTGAAGGGGACACAAAGATAAGAACACATCCACCCCATTTTCCAGGTACCAGCAGGAGAAATATATGACGAGGAAACAGAAGCCTTGGGCACAGAGCAAATCATAATCAACATATTGCTGGACAGAGGCAAAAAATGAAGTGCTCTAAGCTCTCAGATGCTGGGCTCACTTCCAGAGAGGTCCCCCCTAGGGTCCAGGGAGGAGATTATCCCAGAGGTGGCCTTGTAGGAGGAGCTGAATTTCAATAAAGCATATGGAAAATTTTCTTGGATTGGGTCCTAAACACTTCCTGTTTTTTGCATGCTTACCTTGTGCCATACATACAGTAGGTACTCTGATTTCCTAGTTGGACATTATATTTGGGGACTAGGCTAGGAATTATGGACTTGGTTCTGATGGCCCCGATGGCCATAAATTGAAGAAGTCCTGCCCCTTTTTGGGCCTCTATTTTCCCCAGCTATGAAATAGGTAGAACCTTGCTCATGGGTTTCTGGTTAAGATTACATTAAGCTAATGTATGCAAAGCTATTTGCAAACCAAAATGAAAGATAAATACAAAAGACTATCTTTCACTACTCTTATTGCAAAAGCTAGAAAGAACCAATGCTTATTACATGCTTCTCCGTTAGCCATTAACTTTATTTTCTTTTGATTAACTATACTAGGGATGCGAAGATGAACAATACCTATGTATAGTCTCCATCATTGGAACCCGAAAGGTCTAGGAAAGGAGACAACAAGTAGAGTTGATAGTATAAGTTTAATATGTCAGGCCAAAAGCTGGGCTGGAATCTGGAGGGAGATCCATTCCTTTTTAGTGACAGTGCCGGTAGATGACAATGCTAATGGTAAGAACTTCAAAATCAGGAATTCAAGTGACATATGGCAGTATAATATAGTATTTGAAGGGGAGGGGAAATTAAAACATAAGTTTGAGCTTACACTATGTTCCAGGTACTTTATACCCATCATTTTCTAACAAGCTAAGTATTTTTATGGCCATTTTATAGATGAGAAAGTTGAGACTCAGGAAGGTTGGATAAATTCCCAAGATTTACAATACTATAAAGTACAAAGTAGACATTAAAACCTAGGTCATTCAATGCAGGTTTGATGCTTTTCCTGATCCCCGTATTGCTTTCTAGATAGTCAAAGTTTATATAGAACTCATTCCATACTTATCTTCAATGACCGTCTCTCTTGGCTTGCTTTTCCAAGGAGAAAGATTTGTTTGTGATGAGAGAGATTTAACAGTAACCTTTTCTAGTCATTTCTTCGTGCACTTCTTGTGAGAACCCCCTTCCCTCCCACCAGTCTCTCTTGACTTTTTCCTCACCGCCAATCTCAAGGAAACTGCCAACAAAGATTCCAAACAAATGAAGAGCCTGTAGAGATCTACCTCTGCTACCATATCTGTAGGCCAAACACATGGAAATAAGGAAGAAATCTGTCATCCAATTCTGTCCCAGAAGAGATCTACTTAGATCAAATATGGCCTTGCCTTAATTTTGTAAAGTCATAAGGAAACTATGATCTAAAGAAATTATGTAATCATCACACTTGCCTATTTTACAAATAATGAAAACTGAGGCCCAAGGAGGTGAACAGACTTGCCCAACATGATACACTAGTGAGAGACAGAACCTGGACTGGAATCAGGTCTTGTGACTCCCACACCAATGCTGTTCCACGAAAATAGGTTGCATTTTCGTTTTCCTTCGCTAACATTTCAACTTAAATGAACGTATGGTCTTTCAAAAGGAAAGCTCAATGTTGATGTCTCTGCAATGTCCAGAAACCAGGGCCCTCTCTTTGGCCTCTACTCTGACCGGATCATAGCCTCATCTAAAGAACAGGAAGTAAATTCATTTTTAGTTTGAAAGCACTTTATGGGGTGAGAAGGGGGGATTTGAGGAAGAGAATTCCTGTATGTGATGGCCAAGAGCGGTCAGCAGACACACTACTTTGGTTTGAAGAAGGGGAAATACATTGCTAGGAATGTAAGGGGAAGATGAAGATTGTCCTTGACTTCTAACTAGAACATGTCCTCAGCAAGAACCTTCCCAAGCCCCCCAGCTGAGGAATGGGGAGGGGGTGGTGGGTTCTGCTCTGTTTCTGTTCTGGTGAGGCTGGATGCCAGATGGGGGTTGGGGTAGGAGCACCAGGGTGAGAAAGTTTGCAGGAACTTTCTATAATCTCCCAAGCTTCCTCCACCTTCTGCTAGCACCCACAACTTCCCCTGCCAAGAGAGGAAGGAGGAACACATTATTCGGTTTAATAATTTATACAGATTGAAAAGTTTACTGTGTAAAATAAAGGAAACTTAAGAAAGCAACAGCTATATGAAAATTCCTGAGTCCACTGTTAAAGCACTGAGGTGTAGAGATAATGTTTCTTGATGACCTCACTTGGGAATGTAGTAATCTGATTGGCTAATAGACGGGTCTGAAATAAGCAAGAAGCCACTCCCATTGATGGCTAACCAAGGTTTGTCTCTTTCTACTGGTGGGATCACATCCAATCTTTGCACTAACAGCCTGGAACATCAAAGAACACAGACACAGATTCATGGACATATGTCGAAGTCAATGGTTCTCAAACCTGGCAGCCCATCAGAGTCATCATCTGGAGAGCTCATTAAAAATTTAGATTCTGAGGAACCAACCCAGAGATTGATTAGGTAGATCTGGGCTGGGGCCCAGGAATCTACATTTTCAACAAGCAAACTTGGTTTAAGGACTAATTATTTGGTTCAACCTCATCCATTCAGCTAACAAAACTTTTTCACAAGATGCTGGTTTTATAGCAAAGAAAACTGAGCTGCCAAAAAGTGGCAGCACTTGGACTTAAACCTACTCTCCTGGCTCCTGCTGAGGTGTCTTTGCCAGTGCTGTCACACCTGGCTTCTCTTTCTCAGCTCACCAGTCCATCAAGAACCCCTAAAGATCAGCAGAGCTCATTTATCCAATATAGAGGATTTAGAGCTGCCAGGAACTTTGATCCAGATCCATTTGGGTCCTAGGAGAAAATGGCTGGGTTGGGTTGGGTGAAGGTAATTTTAAGTGAACCCTCAGAAAGCTGCATTCTGTATTCTGGCAGGTTAAAAGGAGAGGGTCCAGCTGATGGTTTCTAAGGCATACTACCCTGTTGCTGCAGGCAAAAAGAATAGTTGGCTTATGGGAATGACCTGCTATGTTATGGAACCAGGGAGGTGGAGGCAGAGTTAGTGAGGGGTTGAGTAGCAGAAGATGAAGTTTTGGAGGAACTGGGAGGCCAAATCAGCTCTCCAGGTCACGTGCAGCTCTTTGGCTTTTACTCCCAGGTACTGCAGGATTTTGAACAGAAACTCAGTATAATTTGCCGTGTTTTCCAGGGGTACTCTGATGCAATGGTGAGAATAGACTGTCTGGGGCAGGGCATAGAAGCAGGGATTTTAGTTGGGAAGATTTTCAGTTATCCAGGGGGACAAAGGATGGTCGCTTGGAGCAAGGTGGTAAGAATGTCATGGTAAATGGTTGTTGGGTCCTAGTTGTTTTTAAAAAGTAGAGCTAACAGATTTTCTCATGGGTTGGATGTAAGATGTGAGAAAAAAGGAGTCAAAGATGGTGCCAAATGTTTTGGTTCTAGCAATGTGCAGGCTGGAGTTATTGATTGAGATGGAGAAGTCTGTGGGTGGAGAGGTTTGGGGGAGGGATATCAGGAGCTCAGTTTTGGACCTGCTGAGTCATTGGCACTCACGTGACATTTAAATAAAGGCTCACCAGTAGATGAGGTCATTGAGAAAGTGAGTATAGACAGAAAAGAGGATTAAGGACTTGGCCTGGGGAATCTACATTGTCAAGAGGTTAGAGAGAAGATGCAAATCAGGGAAAGACAAAGAGGAACCAGTGGGGGAGGAAGAAAACCAGGAAAGTATGTAATCTCAGACACCTACTAAGCAGTGTTTCTAGGAAGAGAGAGTGATCAGTTGGGTCAAACACTGCTGAGAGATGAAGGGAGATCAAAATTGACAGCTGACTATTAGATTTAGTTATTGGAGGACACCAGTAACCTTGACAAGAACAGCATTTGACTCCTGACCTCATGGAGTCCAACACTTTGACTATTAGTTATCACTGAGTTCTCCCTATTATAAATTTTCTCTTCCCAATCAGACAGTGAGCTTTGCATCACCAGGATTGGGGAGTTGTTATGTGTCCAGAGCTCTGGCCCCTTGTCGGGCTGGTGGGCCAGCCTGTTGCAGGTCCTGATATAGTTGCTAACAGAGTCATGAATACCCCTCCCACTGGGACACTGGCCTTGAACAATTGTGCTCATGCCTGGCTTACCTTGGACGCAGAATTTGAGTTCCTTGGGGTCAGTGACGACCTTCCTGCTTTCCCGGATTACAGTCCGGTTCTTCTTGGTTTCTCCCCAGAGATTGGTACCACCATACATGCTGGGAATGTTGAGAATGGCAATGCCTTCAAGGAAGATGTTGCTCAGGTCGACCCCAACCCCGTCACACTGGTGGGCAGAGAAAAGAGGTCATCTGTTAGTGTCCTCAGTTCATAACCCAAGATGGGTTGTGTGTGTGTGTGTGTTGGGAGGTATAGGCTCTCATGAAGGATGCCTGCTTCTGCCAGAAGCTGAATCTTGGGGAAAATTTCTCAGACCTAATGCTTCAGCCACTGTAGTGGTATGGGGAAGATCTAGTTCTGGTCAGTTCTGTGGAAGACAGCACAGGGCTCCAGGGATCCTCTATAGATCTAGAAAGGCTTTAGGAACAGTTCCAAGACAATTGCAAACTGTTCTCCAGTCCAGCCCAACCTCATTATCATCAATTCTGCCCTATTGTACCCAGCCTGAAGAGTTACTGGGACAATGAATGCAGAACCTAACACTCAGTTGATTCTCAACACACAAGTTTCACTTTACCCCCTCTTATTTTTCACTCCTGTGAGAAGTACGAGACTAAGATTTGGAAAGCTTTCAGAATTTGCCTGTCTCCCATATCTGTATCATAAGTGCAATTTTGGCATATGTGCTTGCTGATGTTGCAGAGTTTCTTTATCCAAACTCCACCACCCACATCCCCCGCCAAGTACAAAAGGCCAGAAGGCTTGAATCTGTCTGTCTCACATATCTATAAAGTCAGCCCACTTTGGCATAGTGCTTACCAACACAGCAAGAAATGTATTAGCTCTGATTTCTGATCCTCAGCATTGTAGATAGTTTGCTTCATTTATAGAGGAAAAAATTGTACCCACAGAGGTGAGCTAAATTATCTAAGATTGCGCAGCTGATAAATAACAGAGCAGGTATTCAGAGGTGGGGAATTTGACTACAAAGCACATGCCCTTTATCTTCCTTATTGTGAGGCAGGAAAAATCAAAAGCATGTAATAAAAGTCCACTATTTTCAAGGTGACCTACAAATCCAAACTTTCAGCAATTTCTCCACAGAGGAAGAATAGAGATAGGGCTCTGTGTTGTTCATATTGGCTTACCTGCTGGTTTCCTTGATACTCTTACTTTATGGTATTTTATCATCTTCATGAATTATTTCCCTAACTACAAAATGGAATAGAGTGAGATTCTCTGGTACCTGGGAACTCATTTCTTCATTGAGAATTTCTCATTAGTTAGAGTCTCTTATATTGAACCAAATTCTCTTTCTTTCTGTTTGCACCTATTGGCCTTATTCTCCCTTCTGAAGCCAGACAGAATGATACTTTCTCCCTCTCCTTAGACACCCACCACGTGACACAATCATCATCACATCATCATGCATATGTATTAAGCATTGCCATGTTCCACGTGAGCTTTTAAGCATATATCATGTTACATGTTACCTTCATAATAGTCTTTTAAGTCAGTTACCATGACTGCTTCTGCTTTACATTTGGAGAAACGGAGACATAGAGTGGTTAAGTAACTTGCCAAAGTCATACAACTTATAAGTGGAAGTACACAGCTTTGATGGCAGACAGTCAGAGCCTATGCCTTAACTACACCTTTATTTTTCTTTCTTTCACAACACCATTTGGCTGTGCCTCCTTTGGACCGAGCATTGTCATTCTCTCAGACCCCTCCCATAGAATTTGGTTTTCATCCTGGGTGCCCTGTTCTGTAGTTTGTTACTCTTCTACTCCGCAAAGCCCCCAGCATCAAAAGCAATACTAAGGACAAGACCTGGTGGCGCAGGTGGCAACTTCCTGGAGTTGGGATTCTATGACACAGTCATGCCCCAGAAATGAGATAATGTGGGAAGCCCATGAAAAGGCTCAACAGATGTCCCCATTATCACTCTCCTTACTGTTAAACATGATCAATGTGGCTCTTTCGTTAACAGCCAGAAGATGACATAATCACTTCAGTTGGAATGGGTGTTCATCTCAGCCACTCCTGCAGGCCCTCAATTCCACCATTGACATCTCAGCCAACTCTTCCCTATCCTGAACTTCCATAGGTATTCTTATTTTAAATAACATAGACACAGAATTTTGCACTCATGTCAATTAATGTCATCTGGCTTATAGCCCAAGACTTTTCCAGTCCATCAAGTTTATTTTCCATCTTCAATTTATGACCTTTTGCCATATTTTGGAGGTTAAGTCATTAATACGTTTATATAAAAGGCACAACCAGGGACCACGACCTCTCCTTGGTCAGCTTAACATACCATTGTGCATTAAACAGCTCTCAGGGTGTGGCCATTCTGTTGGGGCTGTCTGTATCCTCTGGATTGGAAGTCACCCAGCACACCTATCATTACAATGTGTAATCATGGAACTTAGAGATAAGAAGGGCCTAAGAAGTTATGACCATCTTTCACACATGAGACCCAGCAAAATCAAGGATTTATCACTGAATTTATTAATAACATAGCTGGACAAGTATCTAGGTCTCTGGACCTCGAGTCTGTGTTCTTTCCACTAAAACATAAGACATTGTGTTCAGATCATGACTATTATGACCTCTATCAGAAAAGGAATAAGAAAAATCATTAAGTTACTAGTATCTGGGTGTAAAGAACAAATGCTTAGTTAATAATCTATTCCAGAATCTTGTCAAAGACCTAGATGAAGCACACCAGTCTGGTATCCAGAAAGTGTTCTTTTGTACTTTGTTAAAAATGGGATGTTTGTCTGTTTGCCTTTTATTGGCTGGAAATGACTCTGCTTTCTAGATTTATCAAGGTGGCCCCTGAATGGCATCTAGAGGTTTGTCCATCTATATGAATTCAAATATGTGTGTTTTCAAAGGCCTGTTAGTTCTCTGTCTTGGGCTCTGGTACCCACCTTTAGTGTCTATTCTATTTTTTGTAAGGGCTACTCTCTTGGGAAAAGATAAAACGCTTTTAGAATAATGCTAATGAGCCTTGCTTCCCACATTCTTTTTTTTTGCTTCAAACATCATCTAACATTTTCCTTGGGTTTCAGTTTGTCAGAAGTCAGGCACACAGGTCCGAGTTGCCTTTGTGCACTCACCCTGGTTGCATGCCACCCCCAGCTACCCTTTGTGTGTGTGTGTGGATGGTGCCCTGGGAGCATGGGTTCAACTCAGAGCTCCCTGATGCTGCCATGGTGATTCTTTTTTTTTTTCCCCAAATCTTTTCCTTTCACTTCTCAGTAGCATTACTGACTTATTAGACATTTATTTTGGAATGTCTTCCATTCCGTCATTCTTTATACACATATTCTTATTTAGGGATTTAGGCTAGCATCTCACTGGAGCAGACTTCTCTTTTCCCCAAACCCTCTGAAATGAGCTTTACTTGATTCTGTGTCTGGCATTGTCTTCTCATATCCTAATCACCTCCTGGACAACATAGTCACTTTTTCTCTTGGATGTAGTTATTCCACATCACTTCAGATTATTCATTACTGGTCCCCTTCCTTCTCAGAGGTAATGAAATAATATTAGTAGCTCACACCTAGCAAGAACTTCTCCAGAAACTGAGCTGGTCCTTCTCTCCATTCGCTCTTGGCATCATCATGTGAACACCATGAGGGAGGCTCACTGCTACCCACAACTGACTGGTCTCACTGGGGTTAAGTTGCTTGTTCAAGGCTACCCAGCTTGCCACCCTATAAGCTGGCAGAGCTAGGATTCAAATCCAGGCAGTCAGATACCGGATCCTACCCTGGAGACAAAAGAGTCAATGAGGCAAAAGGGGACTTTTGCTGATGCTAGACTTACAGCAAAATTAAACTTCCAGCTGTTCTTTGAATAATTGAAATCTCCCACCACTCTATCTTGTACTTAGAGCAGTGCCTAGCACATTGATTCTGGGTATTAGTATTATTATATCTTGCTGCTGTGCCAGCTTTGTTAAAAAAAAGTATACCACTAGCACACCTCCTTGGCACACCATATTCCTCAAAGCCACCTTTTCCCTCTACTGCAGTTGTAAGTGTGCCCTGTGACATCCTTTTCACCAGCTAGGAACATTCACTATTAACTTGGCAAGCCTTCGGCAAGCAAAAAGTCTTCACTTTCTGATAGATTGTTCCTGCTTTTTTCTGCTTTCTGCGATTGTTGCTATTCCCCACTGTGTCACTGGGTCCTAGACAGACCAGGGCAAAAAGAATAGAAGTGGTAGGAACATAGGAATTATTGGTCATAGATATCCCACCCTTGGAATTTGAATATTAAGAGGCAATGCAGTGTCCAGGAAAGCACAAACCTGGATTTGGAGACAGAGAGGTAGGGGCTCAAATCTTGGCTTGTCGCTTGCCAGCTGTGTGATCCTGTCTTGTTTCCTTAAACTATTTAAGCTTTAATTTTGTCATCTGTAAAGTGGGGGATGGGTGGGGGTGGATAACATCCATTTCCAGAGTTTGAATGCTTTCTGCCAGGCTGTAGCATTTCAAGAAATGTCTGCATTCTTAGTTTCCCTAAGCCTTATGCTGGGAGCCATATTACGGCTTGAATTCATTCTCCCACTACCTGAGACCTTGCTGCAAGCGTTATTAACGGCGTCTTGGCCCCACCCAGGCCAGTGAGGGCCTTGTCAGTCCATACCTGCACCCCTATTGTCTGGGTTTCTGGGCCTAGCCATGACCCACTGATTTCCTCCAGAACATCAGGCCCGCTTAGGTTTAGGGAAAGGTGGAAAGCTGCTAAGCTGGGCTGGGAAAGTGGTGCCAAGAGTGGTATACTGTCCGTTTAAATGGAACACAGGCCTCAAGGCGACTCCCGGGCGGATTCCTGAGCTATATCCTCCAATAGTTCCATGACGTCAGGCGGCCCCCTCCCCCGCTCCAACCCGGGGTTGGGGGAGGATCCCGGGCAGAGCACAAGGAGGGCGGTGGTGCCTGCGCACACTTTAGCCGTCCCTAACTTAGGCCCTGGCTAGCAGGCGCCTCTCCAAGCCCAGGCTGCGCTACAGCGAAACCCAAGTATTTATAGCCGGGTAGGGGCTGAAACAGAGAGCTCTTGTCTCCGCCAGCGAGCGCGCACGCCCGCAACCGTGCACGCCCTAAACCCTGCACCCCGCAACCCTGCACGCCCGCAACCCTG